ACATAAGCAGGGAAGCAGGGAAGATAAGGGAGAAGAGAAAAAGTCCGTCCGCCTCCTCCGAGAGCCAAAGAAGAAAAATTGGTCATTATTATACAGAATAGATATATAAAATGTAAACCAACACAGATGTACAACTAAATATGTTTTCATAACAACAGTGATCAGTGAAGTTTTACCAGAAGGTTAATCATTTATTAATAACATACATGTGTAAGTGGGAATTGATCTATATGCATACTAAATGAAAACAATTCAAAAATCCAACACGTTTTGACATCTTTACATTAAAAATTAACATTAGCAAAGATAAGTAAAAGAAATTATACTTGCATGTAAGTCTAAATGCTTTAACATTTTAGGAAACATAAAGTTTTGTGAATTTAGCTTGGTTTTTGCTGTGTCACATTTGTATTAAATTTGTCTGAATTTTTTTGTTGAAAGAAGTTTTAACTTTTCAACCGATGATTAAAAAAAATCACATTTCAGCTTCTTCTCAGCCAGTCTTATATTTTCAGTTCTTCCAGCTTCTTATAGTTCTTTAACTGCCTCTTTAAAGTTACAACAGCAATTCAGCCTCCAGCTGTCCATCAAACAGAGAGGTACATCTCTAAGCTATACAGGATATCAAGCAATATATTTCAGCAGTTTTGTTCACTTGTTGTATGTCTTCTTTGATCTGACCCAGCCATCAGGTGCATGGCAGTCTTGGCCACAGAATCTTCACCCTGAATCACGTGTCTGTACCATCAGAGTCTGGCTTTGCACTTTTGTGTATGAACCTGGATTCTGTGATACATAGGACTCTGGAAACTGTGGGTTTTATGAAAAAAGGGAACCTCAATTCAGAAAGGCCTGACTGGTATAAGTCACAAATGCACATTTCAGAACTGATAACCCATAAGCTGGACAGAAAATGAGGGAACACCAAAGTGTTTCCAGGCCAGTCGAGAGATATAATCTCTCCAGCATGTCCTGGGTCTGCCCCGGGGCCTCCTCCCGATGGGACATGCCCAGAACACCTCACCCAGGAGGCATCCTTATCAGATGCCCGAACCACCTCAACTGGCTCCTTTTGATGTGGAGGAGCAGCGGCTCTACTCTGAGCCCCTCCCGGATGGCTGAACTTCTCACCCTATTTCTAAGGGAGAGACCAGCCACCCTTCGGAGGAAGCCCATTTCCACTGCTTGTATCCGCGATCTCATTCTTTCACTACCCACAGCTCATGACGATAGGTGAGGGTAGGGAGGGTAAATTGAGAGCTTCGCTTTTACTCTCAGCTCTCTCTTCACTACAACAGACCAGTACAGTGTCCGCATGATGGCAGCCACAGCACCAATCTGTCTGTCCATCTCCGACTCCCTTCTCCCGTCACTCGTGAACAAGACCAAGATGCTTGAACTCCTCCACTTGGGGCAAGAACTCATCCCCAACCCGGAGTGAGCACTCCACCCTTTTCCGGCTGAGGACCATGGCCTCAGATTTGGAGGTGCTGATTCTCATTCCTTCACACTCAGCTGCAAACCGTTCCAAGGTGAGCTGGAGGCCCTCACCCAAGTGAAAGCCTTCTGCCACTTGGCTGCGTCTAGAAATTCTGTCCATAAAAACCATACCATTTGTGTGGTTGTCAAACTTCACATAATCCATCCTTGTGATGACTTTTATGGCAAGTAATCAGAGTACTATAGAGTACAAGGGTGGGGCACCTGCAGGTCAGCCATTGCTGTATTGATGTACAGAAAGAACTGTAGGTAAAATCAGGCTGTTCCTTGGTGCACGCCTATGATAATGGGGAAAGCAGCAAGATCCCCACAGGAAATTTTACTGATTGGTAAATTAATTGTACTCACAGATATTTAGTCATAGCTGAAATTGTCAACACCGAGGGATTTTTCTAGAAAATGCACCTTTATGTGCAGTGTATCAACACAAAAACAGACAAAAAAAAGTTTCACACACAAACTAAAAAACTGGGCTGGACAAAATTATTGGCACCCTCAACTTAATATTTGGTTGGGTGCTCTTTGGAAAAAAATCAATCAATCACTTCCAATAACCATCAACAAGCTTACTCCATGTCTCAACTGGAATTTTCGACCATTCTTTTTTGCAAACTACTCAAGGTCTCTCAGATTTGAAGGGTGCCTTCTCCCAACAGCATGTTTAAGATCTCTCCACACTGTAAAATCTAATATTGTGTTTAACCTCCTAGGACCTGGTGTCCACATATGTGGACATCACATTTTGGGTTATTTAGACCAAAATACTCAATTTTGCTCTATAATGGCTTGATATCCACTTACGAGGACATTATACAGCTACTGTTCTATTGAAATTTTAAACGAATATCCTCATATATGGCTCTTGTTTTTTCTTAAAAACAAAGATAAGGTAAAAAAAAAAAATGTTTTTACATTCATCGGGCCCCAATGTGACCAAATATCAAAGAGAAATTAAAAATGCATGCCGTGGAAAGGTTCGGGTCTTAGGAGGTTAATTAAAAATATTAAATAGGCTGAACTCAATTTTTATCCATTTGTTATTAGAACTAGATTTAAATAAGTTACCAGTACTTTTTAGGCAAAAACGCTGATAAACTCAATTTATTTGAGTTTTTTTAACTTAGAAAAACTAAGTAACCTGCCTGATTTTGTTTAAACAATTATTGCACACAATGAAATCCAATAAACTTCATTTCACTTCTTAAAAATCACTGTGTGTCTCCTATATGATATATTTAACTGACATTTTTTATTGTAACAACCAACGATTTATACAGAAAAATAATGACTATTAACAAGGTTGCCCAAACTTTTGCATCCCACTGTAGCTGCTTTGTTTCTGTTTCACTCTCTTCTGCAGGAAGTTGGTCTTGCAGTACTTTTTTTTATCTACTTTAAAGAGACAAGTGGAATAAAACTATATAACTGTTGTAATAATATAACTGAACAGCTTATAAGAGCTGTGGAACAGGAAGGAACAAGTGCACATCACACTGTGACAGTTTTTCCTTTTCTGTGGTTTTTCTTAGCTGCTGGCAGAAGCAGGGAGATGCTAATCATGTATCCCTTCCTGGTATCCATGGCAATGTCTTCAAATGTTTGTTATATTATTAACCATACTTCTGAAGTCTTATTTTCCTACACACCTCACTTGTATAGTTGGTGATAGTTGGTTGTAAATGCTTGTTGCTTAAAATCGCAAAAAAGAAACAATATTTGTGCTCTGCATTAAAGTAAAACTAAATCATTTTGGTTTGTCTATATAAAAAGAGTCTTGTAGCTGCTTTGTCATATCATATCCTGTTAAAGGGCACAGTGAGCTCTGTTCTCAGTAAACAGCTTCAGTGGTTGGTCAAAGAGTGGAGAAATGGCCCACCAAAGCCTTTGTCTGTCAGTGTAGTTGTTGCATGTGGCTTTGCTTGTTTTGTTTTTTTGTCAAGAGAACAATGCAGAGGGCCTTTAGAAAGTGCTTTTAGATAGATAAAAGATCAAATGTTATTCATTTGATTTAATATTTTTAAACATTTCTAAACAATGACATTAACTTTTTTAACCACATTAAATATCAAACTCAAAAATATCTCATGTGTGGAAAGTTGTGGCGGACCAAACACATTCGTCTGCCAGGAGCTGCACCCTGTTACTGCAACACTGCCACTTCATTAGGTACACTTGTTCACTCTAGCTGCGCTCCGAAAGAAATTTGTCATGCAGACTTAGGCAGCCAGGGATCTGATCACCAAGCTATTGATTATTAGATCTCCTGACTACAACCACCTCTAACAATTCCCACTTTGTTATAAGGCTTTTGGATGGTGGCGTCAGAATTTGTCTTTAAAAAAAAAAGCATGGATCCATCCTGCCTTGTATCATTGGTTCTGGTTGTTGGTGGTTGTGTAATGTTGTGAAGGATGTTTTCTTAGAACTCCTAGTAATAATTGAGCATTGCTTAAACACCACACAGCCTACTTAAATATCGTTGCTGATCATGTCCATCTCTTTATGACCAGCATATCCATTTTATGATGGATGCTTCTGGCAGAATAATCTCCTATATTCAAACAATCTCAATCCTGTCTCTTGAAACTGTCAATGAGTTTACTGTGCTCAGATGGTCGTGACTGTCACCAGATCTTAATCCAATGAGTACCTGTGGGATGGATATGGATGTACAGCTAACAAATCTCCAGGAACTGCTTCATGCTGTCATGTTAATAAGCACCAAAGTCTATGAGGAATGACTGCAACAGCATCTATACGGGGTAATTAATAATAATAACTGGAATAAAGACAGTCTGGAAATCAACTTAGTGCTAGTAAGGTGTAACTATTTAAACTACTTAAGTCCTTTGGCAAAACGACTGTCTGTCTGCAAGTTTCTCTTACGTTGTCTCTAACTGGACATGGTATGATGCCCAAAATATAAAGGCTGTTCTCACAACAATTGGATCTCTTTAGCATCAGTTGTTGCAGTGATATATCTCATGTGCTCTCTATACTGTGACAAAAGACAATGCACATGAGAATTAGTAAAACTGCTAAGATTTATGTTAAGATTAAGAAGGCTCTATGACTTCCACTATCGGCCATGCTTAAAGCTGTGGTTGAGAGGAAGTCACGTAACAGTCTGCTCATCTTCAATAATATATCAAAATAAAATCAAAGAAATTAAAACGGTGCTCTTTTAAGAGAGAGCGTGAGAGAGAGAATGAAAAACATGGAGGACAATGTGGAAATGACCAGAAGGAGCATAGTTTTATTATTCATTTTATTATTAAAATGACTGCCTAACTTTTCAGAGTTTTCTGAGATTAAAACTAAATTTAAATCACAATACTAAATACAAGGCAAAAACTGCATATTACACAATATATTGTTATAATATATTGTTCAGATATTACATGAGCATTTTCAGAAGTGCAACAGAGGCCCTGTGGTGTTTATGGTGCTACACTGTCCCACATATTTTCAGCAATTTCCACAGGTGAATTGTTGATCTGCTACAAATCTCTCACACCAGTGTAGACTGTCTCCTCTGCTTTCCTGGAACTCATTTGCTCCACTTTGTCAGTTTTTCTCCAGGTGAAAGTTGTTGATGAATAAACCACTGAATCTTCAACTGTCTGTAGAAAAATCGAACATTCATCAACACTAAAGGTCTTGACTATAAATGATTAGAAGTATTTACCTATTAATTTCCCCATTACTTTTCTGACATACACCCTACCTGCTGACTCTGCTCCTCACCACTGACTGTTCCAACATCTGTTTGAAACACAGAAGTTTTAGCTAAAAGATGCTTTAGGCTGACTGAAACAAACCAATGATATGAAACGTGACGTTAGCTTTTGCTAAATACCTTTAGATCTGACTGACGAAAGGGGAAAGTTGTATTACCTTTACAACAATTACATGTTTTCTTCTTGATGGTATAAATGAGGTAGGCGATAACAACCAGACTTGTAACCAAAACAGCACATAACAGAAAGATGGCTGTAGTGGCCTTCTGCAAATTCCATGTGGTGAGTTCTAGAAAAATACATGCACTATGGAATGTGAATTTTGGTATCATTAAAAACTGATATCAATGCATAATAATCTATTCTAAATAATAAATAATAAAATGTTAAAATTTACCTTTAACATCCAGTCTTATTCCATTACCAAAAATGATCTGTCCACATGTGGCCACAGCACAGTAGTACGACCCGGCATCAGAGGAGCTGACGTTCTTGGAGAAGCTGTAGACACATTTCTGTGTGGAGGAAGCCTCTTGAATCTTCTCACATTTATCACTGTTTTCATTTGGATAAATTGCATTAGGATGAGATTTATCAGATCTAACATTGAACCAAAACACACTGTGATTTCGAGGACATGTTTTGTTCTCGGAGTTAGAGAAAACTGAACACTGCAGAGTCACTGGGTTTCCTGGATGGACATGATCAGAAGGAAACACTTGAATGGTATCATTGATAGTTGGTTCTAGTCCTGGAAAATATAAAAGAAGAAATAATTAACATGTTCTACCCACTTTTTAACTAACAAAAAAAGAAAAACAAAATTTCACGTTGAAAAAACCCCCAAAGTAATTCAATTCACCTTTAATCCTCAGAAATGTTCCCTTTAAAAATGTCATAGCAAGCTGCCTGACTTTTATGCAGTAATAAAGACCAGTATCACTTTGATTAACTTCAATTATTTCCAGAATAAATGTTCCAGGTTCTTGTTTTGTCGTAATATGAGGAGTCTTGTTAACACCAGCATAATCAAAGGCAAATGTTCCTCCCAATAATTCAGGCCAGCTTCCAGAAACAATCCTGATCCAATACAAGGTTGCATCATATTCAGACGTCGGGCGTGCACATGTCAGGGTCGCATTTTCTCCAACACCAATAGTCTTTGTTCCAAAGAACAGATCATCTGTGCATCCTGAAGATAAAATGAAGCAGATGAGTTAACAATAAATTTCTGGAGTTAAATTGGGAAAAAAAAAGCTGACTCTAAACTTACGACAAACTTTGAAGCTCAATAGTGTGCAAAATATGATCAGCATTTTCTGATTAATCCACTTCTAGTTCATTTCCATTTAAGCATACTATAGCAAGGGGTATCTTAATATAATCACATTAAATGGGAGGGAACAATTTCAGAACAATTTGATTGGCTGTTCGTCATGTTGGTGCTTTGCTGTACTACCACAGTGGAAATAATATCAACCATCTTTCCGGTCTAAACAACTGAAACAACACCAACAGCACAGTTTTCTTTATGGTGGGTTTCTGTAACTCACACAAAGTGAACATGAGAGATGATATGGTGACTAAAACATTATAAAACTGCCTGTAAATTTCCAAAATACTAATATGGTTAAACTGTGTACCATAGATCACCATTATTAACTTCGATAACATAAATTAGAGACCGTAGTGTTCTCAGTTTCCAAAATTTACTTTAAGGTTGAGTCGTGATTGGCATTAATCTTAAAGCTATGAAACTACTACTTACGGTACTTTTACATTTATCATAATTTTATTATTTATCATTTTCAGGACTTCAGGGCGTAAGTAATGCAAAATAAGTCATAGAAATAATTGTCAAAAACACTGGATTACATATTTTCAAAAAAACATCTCAAATGCCAATTATGCTAATTTCTTTCATAAATTACATCCACATACGTATATATTTGAGTGCAATTAAGTTCAGTGTGAATGGATTACCAATGATGACCAGTTTAATTCCACTTACACATGTAGTGCAAAAGTAGATGTCCATGCTACAGTATTGCTTCATGCTGTTGTTAAAGCCATATGCTCAATCACAATGAGAAATGGCAAGAAACAGTGGTGGTGGATGGTCATTATTTGATGAACATAAGTTACTCAGGTGGCATGTATAATTCAAATTTATGGATATGAATGAGACTTTATCATTAAATAAAATTGACATGCTGTTTCATGAGGTGCATAAAGGCTGAAAACAGGTCAGTTTTGCCCTTTGGTAAGTGGTTTCCAAGCAAAGAGAGAGTTTCATAATATATCATGCATAATTTACCTTTAACAATGACAAATTAGATGTTATTTTTTGTGAAAGAAAAATGATAGCATGCTTTAAATGGTACTAAAGGTGCATAAATGCTAAAACAATGGTCATCTTAACAAGTTGCTAGGTAAATGGCCTGTATTTATATAGCGCTTTACTTGTCCCTAAGGACCCCAAAGTGCTTTACACATCCAGTCACCCACCCATTCACACACACATTCACACACTGGTGATGGCAGCTACATTGTAGCCACAGCCACCCTGGGGCGCACTGACAGAGGCGGTAGTTGCTAGGCAACATAATGATATCATAATTTCTGATATAGTTAGGAATCTTCATGGGCAAAAGATTGTGAAGTTTAATTGCTGAACTCTGGATGGTCTGAGAGAAGTTGCTTACCACTTACCCAGTTCACTTTGAAAAAATACAAATAATTATTACCTAATACCTAAACTGCTATTTGATCTTTGGCACAAACAGTTCAGTCAGTTAGCTCCCTGTAATTTTCTGAGACAATCCTGTGGTCACATCTTCTATGTACACATAGTCATATGTATATTGACTGCTACAAACACATAAGGTAATAACTTACAATTATAGATTGTGACTTTTTCATGCCTTACATCTTTTGCATGTTCTCATAACAGTACTTGCACCGGAAACTCACAACGATACCAATAAACAGGAGTGCTGATGAAACACTTCTGTGTTTGAGAGTTCAAACAAGGCCATGAATACAAAGGGGTTTTTCATCTCATCTCTGTTTGAGTCTCAAGTAACTGATCTTGTACCACTGGTGGAAGGTTGAATACAACTGTATAATTAATATGAATAATTATTTCAAAACAAGCGGCCAAAGGGTATGTGAGAAAGGGAAATACATAGAGACCTGCTCAGTCATGCTGTGATCACTCTTAATCACATGTCACTGTGGGCAATGGGGGAAGGTGTTCATCATTCACTTCTCTTAACTTTGTCTTTCCTTTTCTTTCTTTTAGAAATTGATTTTTAATTGGTTGCCAAACTGTAAACTATACAACTATAAAGCCTCACCAGAGATCATTGCAGTGTGTTTAACCCAGAGCTGTAACAGACATCCATCCAGTTTAAATCAATTATCAATTAAAAATAAAACTAACATCACATTTGGACAGTTGAATGTGTTTTTTAAACAATGTTCCAACTTAACAAACATGTACAGCTGAAATGATCTATTCCAACTGTTCAACTCAACCTGACCTGCTGAAGTGCAGCTCTTCTCTCACTTCATGTCTTGTGAAAGATCATACTGAGATCTGTTCTGAGTAAACAACTTCAGCAGTCAAAGAGCACAGAAACAGCCCACCACAACTTTTGTCTGTCAGTGTAGCTGCCGACTGTGTATCTGCTCATTGTTCTCTCAACTTGTAGGAGAGAAATCAAAGAAACCATAGCTGAACAATATTTAAATGGAAGATATCAGATAGTGGCATTATTATAGAATAGAATAAATACAATAGAATAGCCCTTTGTTGTCATTGTTAATGTACAACAAAATTGTGTGTGCAACTGTGCAAGAATAAAATATAAATAGTAAGCTGGCAGGAATGAATAACAAACGGGAGAAATACATACAATCAAGAGGAATATGCACAAAACAAGAAAGGCACACGAGAGACAGCAGGTTGCAAAGTGCTTGGAGGTAGTGCAAAGGACTAAAGGCTTTGTGTGAATGGCCTGAATGATGAGGTTACTTAGACCATGGCTCAGATTGGTCAGGTGGGTGGGAAGGGGTGGGGTGTATATGTGGAGGGAGGATGGGGTGGGTCGGGTGGATAGTGTTTGGTGGGTCTGAATGTTTGTAAATCTGGAGGTGTGGGACCTGATTGACCTTAGGTGCCTACCCAAAGGCACTTAGTCAAACAGGTGGTGAAGGATCACCTTTGATGGCTCAGGTTGTCCGGAGACAGATCTGAGCGTGTCCTCCAGGGAGACCAGTTCTCTATTGAGTGGCGTTAATTACCTTCTGCCAGGCTTCCTGGTCTCAGTTGCGGCCCTGTGTACCAAGCACCCAGGCAGAAGGAGAGCACGCTCTCCACCAGCGACTTCTGGGCCAGGTTATTCTTCCACAGGACAGGGAGGATGAGCAGCTGCTGATGGGCCTTCTTAATTAGAGCTTTGGTTGTTGTGGGTCCAGGTGAAATAATTGGAGATGTGGTTGGATTGGTGTACAGTCATATGTGTACAACACGTAGAGGAGGGGGCTGAGAACAGAGCCGTGTGGTTATCCGGTGCTGAGTAACAGTGGGGTAAGAGATGTGGGGTCCTGGGAGTCTGACTGATTGAGACCAGTGAGTAGGAAATCTTTGACCCAGGAGGAGATGCAGGGAGAATCTGAAGCTGGTCCCGTTTGGTGGTAAGGAAGTCTGGGATTAAAGTGTTGAATGCTGAGCTGTCATCCATGAAGAGCATCCTTACATAGCTCTTCGTGTTCTCCAGATGGCTCAGCGATCTGTGAAGGGTGATGGAGACAGTGACAGCATCCTCTGTGGGCCCGTTTGCTCTGTAAGCAAGTAAGGGAGGGGGCTAGGCAGGCTCTGATGTGCTGAGCAGTATCCGTTTAAAACATTTCATAACTAATCTTCTCCAGACTTCATGTTTGTAGAGGGAGAGTGGGTTGAGCTGAAGGTGTGTGTGTGTGTGTGTGTGTGTGTGTGTGTGTGTGTGTGTTGGATGAATGTCTACACCTGATAGGCCTGGTTGTCTGTGAGGAAGCTCTCGATGCTCATCTCGTAGGCCTCTTTTAGTTAATTAAAGAAAATGCATCACACTTAAGTTGACAGTCAAAAACCTGCACTGTATGTTGCTCTGTCCATCACCATTACTCAGATTGTGAGAAAAATGTTTTAAGAAATTCACAAAAGTTGACACTCTGGACCTTTAGGAGGAGAACGCTACTCTTAATCGAGTGTAACTACTGGCAAGGATGACAACAAAAAAGCCAATGTAATGTAATGTAAATCATTTTTCTCCTGGTTTGCCGTTAATATTTAACTGTAAAATAGTTTTTAATAAACAAGACAATGTGTTATTTATTTCAAAGCAGCTTACATTGACTGAGAGGTTTCCAAAATGCAAACTTCATAGCTAATTAACATCAAAAATAACATCTATATCAACTTTTAAAAAATTAACCACAATCAATATTAAGTAAAATCTTCACGAAATAATTAGTGAGTTGAATTTTGGGTTTAATATGGCTTTAATATCATTGCATAACAGTATGTTTGTCTGTTAAGAAAGAATAGAAGCTTTCTAGTCACTAATTTCTAATCTGAAGACTTTTTTTCCATGGACAATAAGGAGATTAATCTGTGTCTGTGATTTTAACACAGACTATTATAGCATGACTATTTATAACTGTTTATTACTTTGTAAAAAAACATGCATACATATACAAATGATTATTGTGAAACATCACAATAAAAACATTTTATTTTTCAAACTTAAAAACATTCAGTTGTTTGCATCTGTTGTTTATTTATTATCTTTGCATGTAAGCTATGACAAAAACCTAAAAAATACAATTCATATTTTCTTTCAGTTTGTCCAAATGATAAATTAAATTTATACCAAACACTTTGTATAAACATTTGTATCCACATTGATGAGTTTGATAGATCTCAATCCAGTACAAGGGCCCTGGCATCGGTGTAGATGCAGCCTGCAGGTTTTGTATCTCTTGTCCTTGATTTGCTCACTTTTTTAAAAGTTGCTAGAGAATAAACCACCGAGTCCTCATCCACCTGAGGAAGCATCACATATTAATATTTACACATACAGACATTAAAATATTCTCATAGCTCAGAGTTATATTTTATGTATCTTTACCTGCAGATTTTCTTGACCACCATTTCCAATGACATTTGTTTGCAGGCCAACAGCAGCTATATTGTCACATAAAAGCAGAGAACTGAAATTAGTTTACTTTTGCAAGTATTATTTGATACATTGATGCACAGTATGAGTGACTGCTTACCATTACAATCCATATATGGTTGCGTCTTCAGGTTCTTGATTGAATAAATTAGAGAGGCTATAACAATCAGACTTATAGCCAAAGCAGCACATAAAAGATAGAGAATGGTATTGTTCCTGTTGACTGCTGACACAAAATGAAAATAATTAGCCTTAAACATTATTAAAATGGTTGTTAAAAGTATTTTTTAGTTATTTGATTAATCATGTTTAGATTAATATTAGATTCAAAACTAAAATCAAATCAAATGCACAAATATTATAATTTTCTCCATTATATTAAAATATGATGTACTCGCCTTCAGTATCACCTTTTGTTGTATCTTCAGAAAATGACTCCACACATGTGGCCGTGGCACAGTAATACGTCTGAGAATCAAAGGTGCTGAAGTTTCTCAAGTAGCTGGAGAAGCATTTCGTTGTTGATAGTCCATCCAAGTTCTTTTCATATTCAGCTCCACCATTTGTATGAGTATGATTCAAACTGGAGTGAAATTTATGTGATTTAGCATTCAAACAAAACACAGTATCAGCTGCTGGACATGCTTTATCCTGGCAGTCATGGAGGACTGAACACTGCAGCATGAATGTAGGTTTCTCATGGACGGGATCAGATGGAGGAGCTGTAGTGAAAGCTGGTTTTGGTCCTGAGAAACACATCAATCATTCAATTATTAAAAAACAAATTACAAATGTAATTATTTAAACAGTCCTTTTATTTACACATGAATAAATGTGTAAACACAAGCAAAAACTTTATACATGTTTTTTAAATTAGTAAACTATGTAAAGTCCCAAATTTTTGTAGGACCTAAAGGTGTTTTTGTGTACTTACCTTCAACTTTCAGGAATATTCCATTCAAAATTTTAAAGTCTTGTTTTCCTGTTTTCATACAGAAGTAAACTCCTGTATCACTTTGCCGTGCTTTTGTAATATACAGAACAAATGCTCCAGGTTCTGTTGCAGTTCTAATGCGCTGATCAACACTCTCAAAGCTAAATGACCTTCCTAAGATTTTAGCAAAGTCTCCAGAAACAAGCTTAATCCAAAACAAGGTTCCTACATCTCTACGGGGGCACGTCAGTTTCATCTCCTTTCCAACAGGAACAATCTTTGTCTTGAAAATCTGTTCATCTGAGCCACCTGAGGAAAAAATCATACCTGTCAGTATGATCCAACACACAGAATCACCCGAATCCTCTTCTAAGTTTTCTGACTGTAAGACATTTTTAGTACAGGCAATCTACATATACTTACGTCCAATACTAAGCATCAGATATAAATAAAATATATTCCTCATTTCTGGTCTTTCCTCTTGGTACTGCTGTATTAAAAACCTGGTGAAATGATTTGTCTAAATATAATCACATGAAGTGGGAGGAAACTATTTCAGAGGAACCTGATTGGCTTCTCATTGTGTTGGTATTCCACTGCGTCGTGGAAACAACATCAACCACCTTTCCAACCTAAGCACATGAAACAACACCAATCGTAGGCTCTGTCATCTTATGTTTGGTTCTTGTTGCGGGTTTCTCAAACTGAAACTCATAGAAAGATAAGAGATAGCAGATTTGTTTATATTGTATCACCTGGAAAGAAATGTACAAAAAACAATTTTTTTAGGTCCTTTCTGCTGATCGACACAGTGGTGCAAGTGCAATGTTGACAGACTTCAAGGGGGAACTAGACCCTGTCTTAAAGAACTGCCTGTGTTCCCACCACATTTGTCCAGGTTTCCTCACAGACAGGTCGTGATGTTCTTTGAAAGACTGAAATGGTAAAATCACATACAAGTGATTATAAGGAACAGAGATCATACAAAGGTCACAATGTATCCAGTCTGAGGGTACCTTAACACAGACAAATCTGCACCCACAACCACACTGCACTGTAATGCAACAAAATAATCTATAAGCTACCCTGATGGCCTGGCTGGCCTGGCTGGGCCTACACAACCTGGGCCTACAGCTTGCAGAGATGGTTAGGGGTCTGGTGCTTTGTAGATCAGGAAGGAGTCAAGGGCGGAGAACCTGGTGGTCCAATCCCCAATTGACAAATATGGCTATGCTGACAATAAACATAGATGAACAAGTTAGAATCCATTTATTCTAAAATAGATAACTCTAAACTAACTGCAAAGTTAACTAAAACAGATATCAATAGTTGGGTGCCATAAGCTTATAAAAGCACTGGGCGTGTCAATTCAGTGGGTGCAGAAAACACAGTCCAAGGTCCACGCACACCCACTTGATCATCTTAAGTTGTAAGGGTTAACCCTAAACAATAAATTCCAACATTCCAGAAAATTCCTGCCATTTTTAGTTTCAATGAAATATCATGAAATTGTGATGGCTGTAAGGTTCTCATGACGTAGATAAAAGAGGAGAAGATATTGTGCAATAGTAAATATTTTTCTCCAGAAATAAGTACTGTAAAACTTGAAAGAAGGCCCAGGTCTAAATTGACCTGCATCTTATTATGAAGGCATGGAATATGAATAGTATGTAATGTCTAATGAATTATTGCAAAAGTAAAAATTGGAAGTTTAACATCTCATTCACATATGCATCGTATTCAGCAAGCTTCTTGCCATTTCTCATCCACTGTCCACTCTGCTCAGACTGCAGCTCTCTTCACCCCTGCTTCTTAGACCTGAAAGCCATTTCAGCTGCTCTGCTTCAGATTTGATTCTTTATTCATTTGGATTAGCAAGTCACACTCTGGACTCTATGCTCAACTTTCTTTTGAACAGCCAGAAAACTGCACTGATCTGCATGTCCAGCTACAAGCTCTGCTATGCTCAGCCCTATTCTGTCCTGGATAACATCACATTCAACACCAGCTGCCCAGTAGAAGTTATTATCTTGTATGCAACTGCAGTCTCCCTTTTATTTATCTGCAAGTGCATTCACAACATTTTCAGAAAACCTGACCCCCAATCTTGAGGTCAAGGTCACTGAGATTTGAAGTCGTCCAAGATTTGTGGTAGAAAAATCTAAAGAATTAATTTGGAAATCCTACATCACTTCATTCTCGAGTCATCGCATTCACAAGATTTTCAAAATAATTTGACCTTTGACCTTGAGGTTGAGGTTGACATTTGAACTCATCCAAAATTTTCAGTAGATACACCTATGTTATCTATTGGTTCATTATTCATTATCACATTCTCAGACTTGGGTGTCCACATTGCCCGCTTGGACAGCAGGGTAATGTCAATACCCCATCAGCCTTTTGCAGCTGAGGGGTAAAAACAAAAAATACATTTTCCCTTATTTTTTTTGCATAATTTGCCTTTTCTTTGTGTGACAAACACAATTCATAGTCTTCATAGTCTTGCAATACATGAAAACGTAAGCATTTCTGTGGTTGGGCTTTCAAATAAAGGTGTGAATAGAAAAGCGACTTTTCTTTTCTTTAATCTCAGGAAGCTGAGCCTGCAGTACCGTTTTATCAATTCATAGCATAACAAACAGCTTACAAGAGCATCAAGGAGGTAGAACAGGAAAGAAAACATCTCCTTGTCACATTCTTCACTGGTCTCTGTGGCAATGTTTTAATTATTGCCAAAGAACTGGCTATGCTTTACTTAGCACAAATATGGATGGGCAGCTTGTCAAAATTAATAATCAGTGACCTAGTAATGCAGTTGCATGACTGTTGCATGCAACTGCATTACTTTGTGATATATATTGGTAAAAAAGACACCAGTGGTTTCAAAGTTTTTTTTGTAACAGGTTTGTAAGAAAGACTTTGACTTGGGAAATGGTGTTTGGGTGGATGTTTTTCATTTTTATTATAATGCACAAAGAATAGTCACCTGACATTGGATGGAAGACCAGGGCCCCATACTATGAAGCTTGTTCAGCATACCCAAGACATCTTTTCATCATCTGGATTCATTTATCCTAACACTGGCAGTCATGATAATCGGTCACACGAAGCTGGTTATCAGCTCGCTAATCTAACCCAGGGTTTCCCTTGTGCATTCACGTGAAAGTGGTGGTGGTTTGATGCTGCCAATAATCTATCAAAATTATGTTTCACAGGTTACATGACTTTTTTTAGAACAGCAATTTATCCTAATGCTTGCCACCTACTCAAGAGACATCAGACAGTGATTAGTAGCTGCGATCCAGCAGTAGATTAGAATAAAGTATAAGACAAATAAAGTATAATAACATTAGTGGAATCTAAAGCATCTTTGCTGATCTTTAAAAAAATAATGTAAATCTGTTACATTATTCTATTAACACCCCCCAAACTTAATCTTAAATCCTTATTTTATGAAATATTGTGGTTAGAAAAGCTGATAGCACTTTATATTAATGCCACACTATTAAGCATTGCTAAGGTATTAGTAAAGTATTAACAAGTGCTACATTCATCATTTATATAGTATTACCCCTCCTTACTATGTTATATATGAATACAAACGCATTATTATGACTATGATGACAGTCAATAAACTTCTACTATTGACATCCATTGATCCATCCTTTTCAATGTCACACTAAGCCTTTTCATAGATGTTGTTTTTATAATAAGCCCCACGTTTCCAGAGGGTGGAGGGCACATTTTCTCTACAGAAACAGTTATGTGTGAGGGAATGCAGAGTGGTCAGTGGACATCTTCAAGATGGTGTGGGTTCTTGAGCTAAAAAGTTAGCAGCTGAGTGATGGATTTAGAGTAGAAATGTCCCCAGCTTCTCACAGACAGTTTAGAAAATTTGTACATCGACAAACACTGTCGAGCTGTCCAGTTCATTCATTCATACAAACTTGCACAAACTAGTGCGATACCACTGATTCCCTTTTCGATCCGATACATAGTAAAAAGTTTGGGTGGTATCAACGGTACTGATCCGATACCGATTCTTTGTACAAACTTCATGTTTTATTGTATTTCAAATTATAGCTTCATAATGATTACAGGGCATCGGACTACTTGTTTTTATTGCTTAATAATGCAGAATTATCATATAGAATAAAACAAAAACCTGAGGTCGTGCACTATTTGAACATGTTGCCTGCCTGCAGCACTAAAGGACTCTGTGAGAGACGTCTGTCTCGCCCTAGCAGCACCTGTCCCTCTCCTCTCCTCCTCTTCAGTTCGCCTCAACATAAGCTCATCATATTCTGTGATATGATTTACTCTGAGGTGTTTGACAAGGTTAATAGTGTTGCCACAACACCTCACTGTCTTGCCACATGTAACACAAACATTAGTTTCTTTACATTGTGTTTCTGTTAATGATAAACTACAAATTTACCCCAAATTACTAAAATATCAATTTTTTAATATGACAATTGATTCTAGAACATAAATAACTGGTATTGGAGGAATCGATATTTCAATACACCACTAGCACAAACCTTTGGTACTTTCCATAGCAACTTCTTGCAAACTAGTAAGTTGATTAATTAAAACAAATAAACCAGTTACAGAAAATCACAAAATAACAAACAAAACAAAAAAAACCCCACATGTACTAAATAAATCAATAGGCTAATGCATAATAAACCATGTTTGTTTATAAATAATCTATATTCATATGTATCATTTTGATAACAACAATGCTAATATTTGTATATAAAAAATATTACATCTATTAATCATGTAAACTCCCTGCACCTGTTACAGATGTACACATGAAAAATGACCAAGTTAATGTTAAACGTCACACTGACATCCACGTTGGGTCATGGTTGGACATTAAAATTGTTGAGCAAGTTCAGATGTCGTACGGATGTCCAGAATTGGTTTTTGACCAGTTGAGCCAATATAGACTTGTGGCTCACATAGGTCAGTTTTGCTGTAACTAAGGAATGGTTAAGATAATGAATATATGATAATATGTATATTAAACAAAAGAAAGATGGGAAGCCCCCTTTGCAAGTAAGTAAGCATTTATTTAAATGTATGGCACGACAGTATATAAGCAAAATGTATATCATTTTGCAACTTCTAAAATTAAAAAAAGCATTAAAAATACAAACTAGACAATAACACAATGTTAAAATCAGACATGTTATTAAAATATATTTTGTTTAAAGTACAGTAGAGGCCATATTGCAGTGATGGAATTTTTGACAGTTCATCATACAAACATTTGTAATTGGTAATATCACTTAAAATTCAGTTTAAAAATAGTTATTTTACTGCAGAAGCACTGATATCAGAGTAGACTGTTGCTTCCTCTTCTGCTTTTTCATTTCTTCTCACTAGTTTGCCACTTTTCTTTATGGTGAAAGTTGCTACTGAATAAACCATCGAGTTCTCACCTCTCTGAGGAATATACATATACATATAGAATGCATATAATTTACAGAAAAAATAAAGTGATAAACAATAGAAATGCCATTAATTTATCTTTGTTTCTGATTTACACCTTACCTCCTGATTCTCATGATTCCCACTAGTTGTTCTATCTATTTTTTGAAATAGAGAAATTTAAGATGAAAGACAGATTTTAATTTTTAATCAGATTTGTCTGATTAAAAAAAAAAAAAAAAAAAGACCATGTGAATCAAGTGAAGTTATTTTTGCAAAATAATGTTAGATAGAGAAGGGAGAACTTACCAGGGCAGCAAACACTTAATTTCTTGATGAGGTAGGCTATAACAAGTAGACTTGTAGCCAGTGCAGCAGATAACAGAAAGAGAACTGTATTGGCCTTCTGCAAGTCCCATGTGCTGGGCCCTAGAAAAATATAAGAATCCCATCATTAGGATTTTTGTTTGGCATTAAAAAATTGACACTAGTGTATTCTGCTGATATTAATAAATGGTTATACAGTTATTTAATATTAATATTATTGTATAATTATTAGAGAAAAATTGGAAAATTTACCCTTAATGTTCAGCTTTGTTCCATTTCCAAAAACGATCTGTCCACAGGTGGCCACAGCACAGTAGTAAGACCCAGCATCAGCAGTGCTGACGTTCTTGGAGAAGCTATAGTCACATTTGTATTGCGAAGGATCCTCGGCACTCTTGTTACATTCATCACCAGTATTTCCATGAGCATAGATTAGACTGGGTTGAGACTCGTCTGTTCCAGCTCTGAACCAAAACACACTGTGATTTCCAGAACAAGTTTTCTTCTCAGTGTTAGAGAGGAGTGAACACTGCATAGTTATTGGATCTCCTTGATAGACATGATCAGATGGAGGCATTTGGAAAATGTCAGTGACATCAGGTTCTAGTTCTGGAAAATATAAAAGACGAAATAGTTAAAATATTTCATTCACTTCACCGAGAAAAATAAATATTAGATTTTTAGAAAAAATAAAACATATTGACCTTTAATTGTAAGAAACGTTCCTTTTAAAAATGTCATAGCAACCTGCCTGACTTTTATACAGTAGTAAAGGCCAATGTCACTAAGATTAACTTTACTTATTTCAAGAGTAAAAGTTCCAGGCTCTTGTTTTGCTGTAATATGGGGAGTTTTGTTAACACCATTATAGTCAAAGGTAAATGTTCCTCCCAAGAATTCAACTGAGCTTCCAGAAACTATCCTTATCCAGTACATGGTTTCTTTGTACTCAGCTACTCGGCGTGGGCATTTCAGAGTCACATAATCTCCAACAACTAAACTCTTTGTTTCAAAGAATAGATCATCTGTGCATCCTGAAAATAAAATGTGAAAAAAGCAGTGAGAGATAGATTTGTAAGTGCTAAATTGTACAAATATATGAATAAATAAATAAATAAACTTACTACCAACTCTGACGCTCAGCAGTATGTAAAATATTATCAGCATTTTCTGATTAATCCACTTGCAGCTCATTTCTTAAAGCACACAGCATTTAAAACATATTATAAGATGATGCAACTTAATATAATCACATCAAGTGGGAGGGAACAATTTTAGAGCAATCTGATTGGCTTTTTATTACGTTAGTGCTTCACTGCACTACCACAGTGGAAATAATATCAACCATCTTTCCAGTCTAAACATATGAAACAACACCATCAACATGCTTTTTTTTTTATGGTGGGTTTCTTCATTTATGAGGGCGTAAACGTAAGAGATGACACAGTAAACTAAAACACAAAAACAGAATTGTCTGGATATTTTCTAGAATATAGAGGCAACAGACTTTATCTTACCTAACATGGTCAAGCTATTTAGGACTCATAAAATTGTTACCATTATTAGCATGACCCACGATCATAACATAAATAAGTGAGGAACTTTTTAAAGCATTTATTGCTTTGAAAAGTATAATTTAACATTTAGGCTGGCCTTGGTTTATGCTTAACCTTAAGCTAAGGAGTACTTTCTTAAGGTTAGGAAACACATTGTAATGGTAAATTAACCGTTACAATATTGCTGTAACAATATCAATGATCTAATTCAACAATTTAATGTTGTAAAGAACATGTGATATAAATAATTATGTAAATTGAATTACTATGAGTCACACCCCCAAAACACTGGATCTCTCATTTTCCTTAATGCACCTGAAAGGCATTTTAGTAAAGTTTCCTTGACTAATCTGCCCAATACTCAGGCTTTTATAATGTAATTTTACACTTTGCTATCTCAAAACTGCAAAGATGTCCAAAATGAATGTATCACCAGAGATTACCAGGCTCAACCGCTGCCACTTATCTATTTATTACATTTTAAAAAATACATTTACAAGTCTCAAAGCCTCAGTCTCAAAACCTTACACTACCAAGTCTGAAATACTTTGCTTAATGATGTCCAACCTTTCGCTACAACAATGCATAATCGGACAGTAGCTGCCCAAGATTCGATTCAGTAGTTTAGATTCAACTTTACTGTCCCTGTGCAAAATGCAGTTAATGACATGAACATTATTAATGATTACCAAAAAATTTCAACTGCTGCTTCACCTGAAACACACAAAGAGACACAGAAGCATGGAAGCATTGTTGTGTTTAGGCTTTCAAGCAAAGGCATGGATAGGACTTTACTTCCTGTCTCTGTTTTAATCTCAAGTAACTGGTCTGGCATCACTGTTTTTCAATCTATGCTAAAAAAGGAAAATGTAATAACACTATATTATTAGTGTGACTAACATTTATATTTAAACAATTTACAAGAGCTGTTAAAGTGTATATGAGAAAGGGACACATACAGAGATCTGCTTAGATTTGGTGTGATCAGTAAAAGCTACAATTTACTGTGGTCTGGCATCTTTCATTGGTAGTTACAGAGAAACAACAGAAAGTGCTTATCATTCACTCGTCTTACTCTGATCTTTTTTTTCCTTTAAGGGCAGAATTTTAATTGGTTGGCAAACTATAAACTATAAAGTTGGTTTGGCAAGCCACCAAAGACTGTTACAATGTAGCACAAAATGAGCTCCTTTCTGAGTCAGCAGCTTCAGTGGTTGGTCAAAGTGCAGAGAAACACGCCACCACAACCTTCATCTGCCAGTTTAGTTGTTGAATGTGTGTTTGCTTTTTATATTCTTGAGATACTGAAACTTAAGCTTAGCTGAAGAATCTTTTCATTGAAGACAGACCCTTAAAGCCAATGTTCAATCAGTGGGTTTCATTTGCATTTGTATCACTGTGCTAAAAATGCTAAGCTCTACCTCAGTGGCTATCTCTTTTCTGTGTGTGTCTCTCTCTGTCAAAAGGACTTAGTAGTGAGTTTTCCCAAATTCATGAGGTTCTTTGTTTTTTTTCTTTGTTTTGTGGATTCACAATGACTTGAAAAACTTATAAATGATGAATCTAGCTAATGTGGTGCCATCCTTTAGTTTTTTATGTAGTTTATGATTGAGCTTAGCTACAGAAAAAAACTTTGATTAGAAATGCTACTGTGTTTAACCATTCCAATGGTAACGTTTATATATGATTTAGTCAACAGTATATTTGTTAAACAAACAAACATGAAGCAAATATCAGCCGGTGAATAAAACAGTTTCTTATATATAGAAAACCTACAGTTTAGAGCTTAACAGGTGTGTGTCAAAAACACAACAGGAGTGAATGTAGATGTGAAAAGGAGATTTGTCTACATTGTATCTAAAATGCTGTCATGCTACTGACCTGTGGTCACTTATCAGGAGATGCTGTTTGGTGAAGGAAGTGCTGACAGGTTTGTATTTAAATTGTTAATTCATCTTGCATTAAAGTATAAGAGTTTGTAGCACTGTGATACAGTTAGTAAATATTTAAGTACAACATAGGATTACTACTGAGCGAGATTTGAAATGTTGTTTAAAACTGTGAATTTGGAACTGATAAACAAATAAAAATCAAGATTTACCATTGTCACAGAAGCAGAATTTTTCATACATTTCCAGTAACTGCCTAATTCCATGTTTCTAAAAAGCCTCTCCAACTCGTTTATTTCTTTATTTTTTTCAGAATTAGGCCTTTCTGTGATTGTTCTTGGAGTACTGGTGTCCTGCTGAGCTTTTATTTTCCTTCTATTGGCCACTTCATTAGTTACACGTTGCTTTTGGTTTGTTGGACAGTTGCTAACATGTACTCAACAAGGTGCTGGAAAGATTCCTCAGAGACCTTGATCCATATTGACACCATGACATCAGATATTTGATGCAATGCAGGATGGATCCATGACTTCATGCTGCTCAGGCCAAATTCTAGAACTCACAGCAGAAAGGGAGAATCTTCAACAGACACATTTTGATGTTGATGATGTTGCTGACATTACCTATCTGTCATTTGAGATTACGAACTGAAATGCAAAATGTTTTCACTAAATATCATTTATCATCAGCTAAAAAATGTAGAATAAAAACAAAAAAATTGTAGTAGTTTAAAATACATAATTTACTCTTTAATTACTATCTGCAATGAAACATGTTGCTGATTTCTTCCATAAAGTATGAATAGAACCATGAAGGCTGTCCACTTTAACCTTTAGAGGACATTTGCAGGGCGTTTGAAACACAGCTGAAAGGTTTGCATGTTTTCTGCAGGATGTGGTGGGCTGTGAGACAAAAGGTGCAGTTGGCTGAACTTGTTGATGTGAAAATTCCTGTGGCCAGCCTGTTGTGGACAGTAATAAGTCACTATGGAAGAATATGTGCTGTCATGTGCTGTCCATCTCTCTTGGAAGAGACGGAGGAGGAGTTGTACCTTCTTAGAGCAAACAATTTTACAACTTTTTGTTCTATAAGCAATAATATCTAATCCTAAAACTGGACACCTGCACTGTACTTGCTGACCTCATCTTTGCTCTCAAATTCTAAAACAGCACAGAGTCTAACTAAAACTGTTGGGAACAGGTTGTGTTCTGAGATTCAGTTTAAAACTGGCTTGGAGTGCCACGTTTTCATTTATTCTTTTATTTACAGCATGTAAAGTGTATTATAGATTCTCTGCAGGTAGAATATGTTTTCTATGTGACATTTGTTAAGCTGTACCTTATCAAAACCACTAAATGAAGTGCAAACTGTGGGTCGCCTTGTCCTGGGAATGTCATTGTGTTAATTTGATGACATAGAAAGTGTAAAAATGTTGTTATATGTGATTCTAGTCTGCTCTCTTTTACTCTGGTGCTACCTGAGGTAGAACACGTCAAGAATACCCGTTCAATTAATCAAATTATTTTCACTTTCATTTGCATAAAAACGGAAGCAATTTCTATGTTTCCTTCAGTAGGCTGTTCAATGTTTGTGTCCCACTGTTGTGGAAGTTTTCCATTAAATAAAGCCTGCAGACGAGCGGTGAGCGGTAGCTAACATTCTTTAATCCAAACACACAAAGAACAGACAACCAAGCTTGTGAGGGCCTACATGACCGCGGGGCAGGGTCAGCAGAGTCTCCCTGAGCCCAGCATGGCTTCTTCAGGAACAACCTGCAGTACACAGCTGGTTCACACCTTAAGGTTCACACTCCCTTGCTACCTCCCAGAGTCCCTGAAGAGACAAAAGATTCTTCCTGTGGAGTTGTCTGCTTCACCCAACTTCCTTTCTACACCCCCACCATTTGTCTTACTGTATGAGTGTGAGACATGTTAAAATCCAGTGGCACCAAGGCATTATACAATAAAATAATGTTATTAATACATAAGTAAAAGAAATTCCTATACACCCACACGGACATTTATTGTTCAAATAAATCCAATTTAAAGTTTCAGTTTTTTACAACAGTGTTGCATTTTACTGATATATATTTACAGATGTTTAAGCGCCATCTGATAATATTTCTGTTGTAGGGATCATTTTCTTTGGAAGAAGAGTCATAATTTGTGAAATGTCCCTCTTCGATTGGTCAGATGCTGCCAACACCACCCCTTTTGTATAAATGTGTAGGGGAAAGCCTGGGTTAACTTTACGAGTTGACAACCAGCATTGTTCGACCATTTATTGTGATCGACAATGTTAGGGTAAGTGAATTCACACAACAGAAAGTTAACCTAGGTATGCTGATTAAGTTTTGTGGTATATTCCCCAGGTTAAACTAGTGCAGCTCGTAAAGTGAGATGGTGTAGCCTGTTAAAAAAACAAAATCTGAATGTGCAGTTTTTGGATGAAATTCCATCATTCATTACATCATTTATAGCAATTTTTCTCATAATCACACTTCTTAACCCCATGGTGGTGCTAGAGGAAAAGTTAGAATATTGATCACCATCATTTTGCTATCTCAATCAGCCCCTCAGAAATGTGTGG